GGGGGGGTTTTAACCGGAAAAACCGGGGGAAAATTAACCCCCTTTTTGGGGGGGTTTTGCCCTTTTTGGGGGTCCATTGGGTTCCCTTATTAAGGGGCGCAAAGGGGTTTTTGTGAACCCCCCCCTTAACGGGGGGGTGGGCGCCGCGCCGGGGTTTCCCCCCTTGGTTTTGTTTTCCCCCCCCCCAAAAGGCCCCTTTGGGGGGGGGTTTGGGTTTAACTAATCCCAAAAAAAGGGGTTTAAAGGGGGGGAAGGGGATGGATTGGGCAATTTAATTTTAAAATGGGGGGGGGGGGGGTTCCTTGGGGTTTTTTTTTGGGGGGGTTTGGGGGGGGTTTCCCCCCCCCCAACCCTAAAAAAAAGGGGTTTTTTTTTCCCCTTTTTTTGCCGGGCCCCCCCCTTTAAAAGTCCCTCCCGCCGGAAAAACGCCCCCCCCCCCCCCCCCCCCCCCGCAAAACGTTCCATCCGAACTGTAGAAGGCAAATCAAACCATTAGGCTGACTAGCTCATGGTTTGATTTCGGCTTCTATTGAACTGAGTCGTGAGATTCGAATGACCAGATATTTTTCACTCAGAGGAGGGTATAGTGGTCTGGTTTCGGTTTCTACAGAACACACGAACCAACATCGGCGCCATGTGTCTATCCCTCCTCCTGCCTCGTGGGACGAACGCTGTGGCGCATCAGGCGTGCGGCCGAGGGGGATGCTGGGAACGAGCGGTGCGACTCGTGGACGATATGCACACGGAGGGGCTGGTTCCGGACAGCCTGACGTACAGGCGAGTCACGGAGCAAATTGTGGCTCAGCCGCGGTGAATGACGGGGCGCTGGTGACTGTTTCGAGGGAGTGTTAGTTTCAGCCTACCGAGCGAGAGCGTAGGCCGTGCCACCACTTGAAATAACTCTTGTCATCTTGGGCGAGACTAGTTCGTTGTTTTTCTGTCGGGAAACCAACGGGTAAAAATGTTGGTTTTCATTGTGTCTTCGGTAGGACTCAGGTTCTTGTACACATCTCGTGAAAAAGGAGGTCTCTGTTTCCTACCTACCAACGTCTTGCTTATTTGGTGGCGCGTTCTGCTGATAGCTGTCATGACGACGCGACAGTGGCGGTTTCAAAGGTTCGGTTCGTTTTCCACCAAACGAGAGAGTAGTAGATAGCTGTCATGACGACGCGACAATGGGATCAGCCATGTTCGGCTTCGAGGAAACGGTCATGACGCAGCGAAAGTTGTCGTTTCGACGTGGCCAGCAAGAAGACAGTTGAGTCGAACGGGGTCGCGGTTATGCCGCCGAGGCGGGTAGAGACTGATGCTTGCTTGCCTCCGGCTTGCACAGCCGGCTGGGCGAGATACGTGCTTCGCGCGTGTGTATCATCTTGATAGTCTGAGAGAGGAGGGGTCTGGACTAAACTATGACCAGTATGGTGTTTGGCGTGGTGCCCTTATTTGAGGGCGATCCCGGCAGCCAGAGTTGCTGTACCGCCTGCAGGATAAATAAAATCCACCAGGAAGAAGGCAGAGGAGTAAATGGGCGAACCCCCCCCCCCTTCCGCCCCT